CTGAAATGTATAAATCTCGTCAATACCTATCGATTGACCCAAAAAAAGTTTGCCACGCCTACTTTAACGCTCAGAAACCTTCCAAAACTGTGGCCACCACAGTTTTCGTGCTAGAAACAATATTTTAGCTGAAATGTATGTGTCTCGTAAACACCTATCGATTAACTTAAAAAAAAGTTTGCGAAGCCCACTCTAACGCTTAAATCTGATTCACGCCCACATAACCATAAAATGAGATCGCTTGTATATCTCCATCTCCCTTTAGTACCTTTTACTAAATTTTTAGTCGAGGCACTCGGCCATGGAGTTCTTTCTTGTTTTTTACACAAATCATCCGATAATATTGTTTGTGTTGTGACTTTATTCGGCTCCGTCTAGCTGTGGTATTTTTGGTATGTTAAAGTGTACATAATAACTGAGAATATCGATAAAGCAAATGGCCAAGATTTCGTGAATTTAATACATATCACATCTCTCCCCTAAATTTACATTTTGTTAGTAGTTTTACGCTTTCTGAAATCTGGGGGTTGGAAACGGTTGACATCTTGGCGCGAACGAGTACTGCTGTGGATGGGGATACCAGATCGACGGTTGAGGTTCATCTAGCTGGATTGGTGCTGGTACTTCATTGGAAGCTTGGGTGGATTGGAGAGGCTGTGATGGGCTAGATAGCTGCTGTTCTTCATGTCTTGGGCTTGGCGGAGTTGTTGGTGGATTGGAAGTGTCGGGCATCCACCAAAACGGAGTGTTGTCATCTTTGGAGCTGATACTGAGATCATCGTGATCGCTTAGTAAAGTCTGTGGATGTTCGAAGAATAAATACCATACGGCCTATGGACCGATCGATGACAGCTTTTATCCACTTTTCTCCCTGGCGTAGTTTTTGGCAAATACTTTTTGGATCGGCGAATACTTCTTTGGTTCGATATGCTGGCTTTCAGTTTGTTTTTTAAAAAGTTGACTTAAGATCGTATGCACAGGGCGACCATGTAGAATTTCTGCCGGGCTTTTTCCTTCCGAGTTCGGGGTGAAACGATACGAACTAAGGTATTTCGTAACGGCTATTTTTACTGAATACCCGTCTTTAATGTTTTTGCCGACAGAAGTTTTAAAAGTTTGGACGAAGCGTTCAGCAAGTTCATTTGATGCTGGGTGAAAAGGAGCTGTAGTTTGGTTGTTAATTCCATGTTGAAGGCAAAATTCCTTAAAGGTTTCTGCAGTGAGTTGCGGTCCATTATCATAGACAATTGTTTTGCGGTAACCCTCAATCGCAAATATAGCTGTGAGCGCTGATATTGTATTTGCAGTTGTAGTTGACGACATTTGGCTTATTAACGGGAACTGAGAATAAGCATCGACGCATATTAGCCACATTAACTCAAATATAGGACCCGCAAAGTCTATGTGTATCCTTTCCCAGGCACTTGTAGCTTTTGGACAGCTTTGAAACGCTTTTACCGGGGCTGGGTTGCCTACCTCGCAAACGGTACAACTCTTAGTTAGTTGTGCTATGTCGTCGTCGATACCTGGCCACCAAACATGCTGACTTGCTAGTTGTTTCATGCGAACTATTCCCCAGTGACCGTCGTGAAGAAGTATAAGAATTTTACTTCGAAACTTGCGAAGAATAATAATTAGGTTGACTTCAGAATGGAGACATAGCAGCTTGTTGTTGATCGTCAAGGCAAATCTGCGGCTGAAGTAAGGTTGTATTTCGGGATCATCCTGTTGTTCTGGCCAACCAGTTGATACGAAGTTGTATACTCTCTGCAAAATTGTATCGCTTTTTAGACTTTCGTTGATGATATCGGCATTTATTGGACAGGATATATCGACGATGTTTAGCATTCCTCTTCCTTATCGAAAAGGATTATAGGAAGACGTGTGAGCGATATTTAATATCAAAATTGTAAGCCATCAATATTATAGCCCAACGCTGGAGTCTGTTTGAAGTCATTGTTGACAAATGCTTGCTAGGATTAAAGATTGTGACCAACGGCTTGTGATCAATTATGAGAATAAATTTCCTGCCATATAAATACTGATGGAACTTCTTTCCCCATGATTGAAAGGGCTTCCTTCTCAATTTGCTTGTATCGGACTTGGTGGACGTCAAGGGTTTTTTGATGCGAAGGCTATTGGCTTTTCCTTTCCATCTGGATGTATGTGTGACAATACAACACCAATGCCGAAAGAGGATGCATATGTGGCTAAAACAAGCGGAAGATTCTCGTTGAAATGTGCCAGCTCAGTAGCGTCGAGGATATGCTTCTTCAAAGCTGAGAAAGCTTGCTGTTGCTCGGGTCCAAACTTGAAGGGTATGTTCTTTCTACGCAATTGATTTAGGCGTGAAGCTAACTGGGAGTAATTTGGAATGAAATTGCAGTAATAGTTCACTTTTCCCATGAACGCATCTAGCTGTTGTAGATTGGAGGGCGGCTTTAATTCCTTAACGGCTTCTAGTCCTGACGAATCCGGAAGGATGCCCTTAACACTGACCCTTCTCCCAAGGAACTCAATTTTATCCCTTAGAAAGAAACATTTCTCTTTCTTACATTTTATGCCAATCGCCTGTAAAATGCATAAAATTTGTTCAAGTAAGGCTAGGTGTTGGTCCACTGTAGGAGCCGAAATAATTATGTCGTCGAGATAATTTCCACAACCTTCTATTTCACTTAGAAGTTTCTCAAGGTGACGCTGGAATATAGCTGGTGCGCTAGCTATTCCATACGGCAAACGTTGGTACTGAAAGAGACCCAACGGCGTGTTGACAACCATAATTTCTTTCGCTGCATCGTCTAACTCCATTTGTAAGTATGCGTCCTTGAGGTCAATTTTGAGAAATGCGTGCCTTGATGAATTTTGTGTAACAATGACTCACGTGTCGGCAATGGATATTGCTCGATGTCCAATGGGAATTGACGCCTTGCTTGAAATCACCGCAGATTCGTAGTGCTCCACCTGGCTTCGGTGCTAGTACTATTGGCGATGCCCAGTTGCTAAATTTGACGGGCTTCCAAATACCTGCTTCTATGACGCTGCGCTTCCTCCTTGAACTTAACCAATTGGGCAAACGGAATTGCCTGCTTTTGTAGAACTTTGGTACGGAACTCGGTTTAAGGTAAATGCTTGCCTTAAAGTTTTTTATCGTACTTAAATACCTCCTAATACCTCTGGCAAAGATCTGTCATTTGAGTCCCCTGCTTTTCAGTGACGTTTGCGATATGCTGAATTTCAAAATTCAATGTTTTAAACAAAATCCAAGCCGAACAGATTATTGGAGTTCTCCACATTAGCCACAATTATCTCCACCTTTGCCAATTTGTTGCCACACCTTGCTACAGAGTGTAGCTCACCCACTACAGGAATTTGTTGTTGGCCAAATGCGTGCAAGATTCGATCGCACTTCTGCAGTTTCAGGCTGTTTAGCTTTTTGTATGTATTGACATTCAATACTGACACCGTTGAACCAGAATCCATTTGGAAGGATACGATTGTATTGAAGAGCTCCACTTCAATCACCGTTTTGTTTCCTTCAAACTTGATCAAGCTGGAAACGTTGTAGATTGCTTAAATTGACTCTGCGTTTTTGTTTCGTGTTTTTGGTTGATCGGTGTGTTTTTCGTCTTTGCACTGCTTGGACCGACAGCTATGTGCCCCTTTCTGGAACATTTGTGGCAAATTGCCACCCGAGACTTGCCATTTTCGCGAGAATGAGAGTGACCGCAGCAAGAGCACGATTTTAAAGCAGTCTTGTCGCCTTTACCATCAGAAAAATTGAGTTTTTGATGATTTGATTTTTGTGTGTATACTGCGTTTGTATCAAGAGCTCTCTTCTCACTCTCTTTGATTACTGCCACTGTCTTTGTTGTTGCCTCGTAAGTTTCGGCAATTGATAGAACGTCTTCAAGCGACGGCTGTAACTTCTCAAAGCGGCTGTGCGAATTGCGTCGAATGGAGGTGCACAATTATTTGATCGCGGATCATTTCATTAACGTAATTAAATGAACACCCATCGGAGTGGCAAACAAATTGACACTCTCTAGCAATGCCACGTAGATCGGCGACTCATTCCTTATGTGTCTGTGTGTCCTGCATCTGACGTTTGAAGAATTTGTACTGTGCAGCAACAATATGACGCTTCTGCTTGAAATGTTCTGTTAGTTTTTCCGTTATTTGTTCAAATGTCTGCTGGTCCAAGTTTTCGCTACCAAACAGATTTTTTACAAGCCCAAATATGTGAGTGCCTGCCCACGATAGAAAATACGTTTTTATACCCTTGCAGAGGGTATATTGATTTCAGTCAGAAGTTTGCCACGCAGTGAAGGAGACGTTTCCGACCCCATATAGTATATATATTCTTGAACAGCATGACTAGACGAGTCGATCTAGCCATGTCCGTCTGTCCGTCCGTTTCTACGCAAACAAGTCTCTCAGTTTTAAAGCTATCGGGCTGAAACTTTCCAAAAAGTCTTATATCTTTTGCAGGTAGTATATAAGTCGGAACTAGCCGGATCGGACAACTATATCTTATAGCTCCCTAAGGAATAATAGGAAAAACAAATTTAAAAAAATTATATCTTTGGTGTTTTTAAGCATATAACCTCCTAAGCTTGGAAATAACATTTTTTAATTAGTTTTGAATTTCGAATTTAATTTTATCAAAATCGGAAGACTATATCATATAGCTGCCATAGGAACTGTCGTAAAATTGGTGGAAAAATAATATGAAACAAATTATAGCTTCGGTGTTTTTCAACATATAACCTCCAACGCTTGGAAATAACATTTTTTAATTAGTTCTGAATTTCAAATTTTATTTAATCAAAATCGGACGACTATATCATATAGCTGCCATAGGAACGATCGGAAAATTGGTAGGAAAATAATATGAAACAAATTATAGCTTCGGTGTTTTTTGACATATTATCTTATACTATTGGGAATATCATTTTTTGTGTTTTTAAATTTAAGAATTATAGCTGCAAGGGTATATAAGCTTCAACTTGCCAAAGCTAACTTCCTTTCTTGTTTTCCTATCTGCTGCTTGCAGGTGTTGGAGGTACGTTTCCCAATTTTGATTTTCTTTGTTAAAGTTTGGAAACGGCGGGCACACGGATAATTCTCCCGATCTGGCTTAGTTCACACCACTTTTTTGTGAAAGAACTTCTGCGCAAATTCTTGCTGTTGAGCCAATAATGTTTCAAAATTAACTTGGCTGTTAGCCATTGTATGTCTTTTTGCGTTCGATTACTGTTGTTTTAGTCTACCGACACGAATTACACAAAATGAAATTTTGCGGCACTTTTTTCCTTGTCGCCAGAAATGTTGTGTTCCGATTAAAAGGAGACGACAGATCAGATTGAGATTTAATGTCCAACTGACTTTTTTCGGCTCTGTCTAGCGTCTAGCTGTGGTATTTTTGGTATGTTAGAGTGTACATAATAACACAGAATATCGATAAAGCAAATGGCCAAGATTTCGTGATTATGATACTTATCAGTTTGCGTAATAAACCTTTGCTTTTAATTGCATAATATGGCTTAAGCTAGCTTTCTTTTTATTATATTGTGGAACTAAAGTGAGTCAAACCAAATTTATACATACAACGATTTAAGTATACTAATTTATTTAAAAATCCAACAGGTCATAGAGAAGCGTTTCTTAAGAATGTAATTCTAAGTGACAAAACATCGACATTGTTATCCGGAACTACATTTATTAATTTTGTTACTATATCGGAGAAGTTCGAAATCCTTAAAAACAAATATTTGTTCTACAGATCGCGCAACATAATAAGATGTATACCACAATTTACATACATCCCGCTAGGCCCTTAATTATACATTCATTTTTGAAGGCTCAATTTGTGGTGCAATTTTTAAATTACATTTGATACATAATTGGTATTCATTTAAAAGATTGTTTAAAACAGGAAGTACGCTTTACAGAAGAATACTTAGAAATCAAGGTCAACATTTTGAAACAAATTCATTTTAAGCAGTTTTGTTTTTTTTTTATAAGTTTTAGTTTTTATAAAGTAATTAAATGAAGAACTCATTTAAATTTTGTTTTTACTTTTGCTTTAAAATTACTAATAAATATTTATAAAAAACATCGTATGAAAAATAAAATAGTTGCGGATTTCCATGGATATTGGTCTTGATGCAATTTCTAGAACCATGTTGCTTTAACTTTTCCTTCCTCATGCAGACAAAATTGTGAACAGACGCTTCTCGAACTTTCCAATTATTAAGAAGAATCTTCAGAAAACGTGTTAAAAATGTAATATACAAATACTTAAAAATATTATTTTTATTCTTCCGCCATCATGGTTGAAAAACACGGAAAAAAATGAACATTTGGCAAAGCGGATATCAAACTATAATAGAGTCTTATGTGTTTTACACTTAGTAAACACTGCAATAAGTGGAAACAAGACAAAATGATACTGAGTTTTTAAAATAATCTACCCATAATTGTGCTAAATTAGCTAAAAATTTGTGTTTTGTTTTTAGAACCAAAATCGGTTATCTTCCAAAATTAAAATTTTTCTTGACTTTTTTATATTGAAAAGCGTTCCTTTGCGACGTTGATTAATTAATTATACCGTTCAAAAGAAAAATGTTAATAATTTTAGTAATTTTTAACTAGAAATATTACTATTATTAGAGAGAATGTGTCTTATGTGTCTTGTGGTACTTTCTATGCCACATTTCAAGGAGTCGCTGAAAAGCTTGGCGTGAAAAGCTTTGGCACTGCCGCTCCTTTCCTTTTTAAGTTCTTTGCTACTACTGCAATTGATTTTCTTTTGCATTTAATCAACTGTTCTTGGATATTGTCTTAAGTAGCTCATCATCGTTTAGCTGGGCGAAAGCCGCAGGAGAGCACACATCGATGGTAGTCACTCGATTGCCACCGTCCGCCACTGAGGGAAAATTAATGAATTGACTTTTTGTTTGCATCGGCATGATAATGCAGACAAAGCTTTGGCCGGTCTGCGAATCTCGGGGATGCAACGTTACTGGGTTGAATTTATCGCTCCGCCCCCAGATGTATGCTTGCAGGCGCTGAAAAATTTCTGGGTAGTGCCTGCGCAGCATGACTCCGCGTCTGGACAAAATGTCCAGAATGTTGGAAAGGATCAACTCCCGGTTGCGGTTCAAGAAGCCCTGCCCGGTGTTGAAGGTTAGAATGACAATTTCAGTTCGTTCTGGCTTGGCCACCACTGCCAGCGGTTGCTGGAGCCCAAGCGCAAGCTCCTGTTCCAACTCGGTCAAAACTTTCTTGCAGAGCTTTAGTTTGGCACAACGACTCACCAGTTGTCGTTCCCAGCGCACCGGCGTCTGACCCATGCCCGGCGCCTCCGACACCACGCAAATGGCTACGTATATAAGCATCTTGGACTCTGGCTTGTACATTGTGATGAGCTTAAGTAGCTCTGAGTACATTTCCAGGCCCATCTCGGCTGGCATAAGGTCCGGCCAGCGCACGTACGAAGCCTCGCCCATACATTGGAACCCATTTCTGAAGAACCCCTCTGCCATCTCAACACTCCGAAATAGAACCCGCACGACGCCCCGTCCCTGCGACAGGCATCCTTTGCGTGCTAGCAGGCTGAGATGGCACTGCGAGTCCAGGTCGTCTTTGCAAGTAGCTAGCACCTGGCGACACAGGTTGGAGGCACGCGAGTGGAGGCACTCCTTGCGATGCCTTTCCCAATGGGTTCGTCGACACTCACGCGAACAGTATAAATGGGAACAATTATGGCATGACTTGTATAGCTTCTTGGCATCGCCTGGCGATGCCCACTGGTCGCACTTCGGGTTCCGACACCGAATTTGTTGTCCTGATTCTTCTCCTTCTCGGGGATCCTTGTTGAGTTTTCCGCCGCTTCCCAATATTTTGTCCGTATGCGTATTTTTTAATGTGGAGTCGCCCAGGGAGACCCTCCTGCTTTCCTTAAAGATATTCAACTGTCCACTTAATTCTGCTTCAACTGACGGTGAATTGGATTTAAAATTTGACTGTGGCTGTTGTGAATGGGCGTCACCTTCGCTGCGACGTCGGGGCCCCTGCTGCTCTACTGCAAGAAGCGTCTTTAGCTGCTGTCGACAAGTTGCGGTTGCTCCTGTGAGAAAGAAAGATAAAAATCTTTTAGCTAAAATATTTCAAAAAAAATTATTTTTCATTTAATTTTGCTATAAAAAATGTACATATAAATTGTGTGCTTGTTAGTGAACTCGTGGAGTTGAGTCTCCCAACTTCTATTATTAGCACATCTGGAAATCTGTAACTAGGAGGGTTGTGATATTAATCACGTGATGTGTGTAAAAGCTAGAAGTAATGTCTGTTTAAAGGCAATCTTTTTTCCTATTGCGCTTTTTTAGTTACCTTTTGCTCATTATACTAATGATACAATTTTGCTGCTTTAAGGGGTTATATCCCTTTTTTTTTTCAAAAAACGAAAAAAAAATTTTTTTTCTGAATCCTAAAGTATATCCCCTAGAGAACATTTTCCCAAAGTTTCATAGAGATCCGAATAATAGTTCGACGATGACTTGTTAGTTTGTCTGCTCGACTTCAATAGTTGCATATACTCAACGTAAAACTTTGAATGCGATTATCTCAAAGTCGTGTTTTTCCAAAAGTGCCTTTGCTGTGACCGCGATTGCACAAGAACTATTTGATCGATCTTCTTCATTTTTTTTTAAATTATTCGTAATGATTGTGCCGAGTTCGTGAACGATTCAGTTTTTATGCACCAATTTTTATTTTGCAGATCACAATTTTTTAATAAGTTTTTTAGAACTCGAAAAATGAACTTTTTGGAAAAATCGTTACTGTATGCTATATATTTTTTGGTTTTTTGATATCAGTTGACCTGCTGGACTTCCATCGTGGTCACCGCAAGCCGCTATAAAAAAAGGGTTCCGAGAGAATTGCCATAACTTCGTAAACTACTTATATTTTTTTAAGAACAAACGCTTGTTGTTTCGATAAAAACATGTACTATCAATAAATTGTAACTTCAGCGTCATAAAATAATTGCTACACACCTGAAAAAAATATAAAGTTCCCTCAATTTTTTCGCTCAAAAAGGTATATAACTCCTTAAAAGCTATTAGCAAAAGTCGATATCAAAACATTATGTTTTAAAAAATTGTCCATAAACTTAATTTGGCGTTTCAGGTATTCGTTGCGAGTGTACTGGTTTCAAAGGTATAGCAGCTTTGTAATTCGCTTGTGTTTCTTTCAGGACTGATACAGAAAATAACAAGGAGTAGCGCCTTAACAAACCTTTTTTATAAATTAACATTGATATTTCGACTGAGAATTGCTTTTATTAGACCAGTAGTAGTAGTTCTGCTACCCTAATTATATAGTTTTGGTCAGCAACTCTGACCCTATAAACTAACAACCAAAAACACCTCTTAACGAGGAAAAAGAAGTGACGATTGCACCTTCTACATAAAATAGTTCTGATATAAGCTTTTGTGCCGAAATTTACACAGAAAACTTCTTAGGTAATCCCCAATCTGCTGATATGTCGAGCATATCGGCTCAACCTCTACGAGTTGATTTCTATGCAAATTTGCCCCTTTTTTTTTTGGGAAAAATTCGAGGTTGGTTTTCTTGAGTTGGTTTAGCGTATATACTGGCATAATCTCTGTGGGACAGCATTTTTCAAATGCCCTTTTATGCCGGTTACTCGTAGAGTAAAAGGGTAAACTAGACTCGTCGAAAAGTATGTAACAGGCAGAAAGAAGCGTTTCCGACCCCATAAAGTATATATATTCTTGATCAGGATCACTAGCCGAGTCGACTAGCTATGTCCGTCTGTCGGATGAACGCTGAGACCTCGGAAACTATAGGCTAGGCTATTGAGATTTGGCGTGCAGATTCCTGAGCTTCTTACGCAGCGCAAGTTTGTTTCAGAAGAAATGTGGCTCCTAAAGTTTTGATGCTACAATAAAAATTGTAACTGAAATGTATTGTTCTGATCAATACCTTTCGATTGACCCAAATAAAGTTTTCCATGCCCACTTTAACGCCCACAAACCGCCCACAAACTTCAGAAAATCGAAGATATGAACGTTGATATCTTGGAAACTATCAAAGATAGAGAATTAGGATAGCCTTGTACACAGCGCAAGTTTGTTACGCGCATATACCACGCCCCTCTAACGCCCACAAACCGCCAAAACCTGTGACCCGCGCAATTTTCATGCCAGATAAAAAATTTTAACTGAAATGTATTGGTCTCGGCAATACCTATCGATTAAGCCACGCCCACTGTAACACCCATAACGCTTAAATCTGTCTACCGCCGGTAGGTGGTAGGTGGTAGTCGAGGTACTCGACTATAGCGTTCTTCCTTGCTTAAATTTAAGTAGGACTCGGATTTGCCCCTAACATATCTAGATCATTTACAAATTTTTTCTAAGCAGTTTCGCATTTTAGCTATTTTGATTTGGCTACTTTCCCAAAAATATGCTTTGGCTAAATTTTGGCTTTTGATTTATTTAAACCGTGTCTTCCGTTCGCCAGATACAGTGTTGTGTCTTTAAGCATTATATTTTCAACAATTTTTGAAACCTTCCAACAAACAAAATTTTAGCTAAAATGTATGTGTCTCGTAAACACCTATCGATTGACTTAAAAAAAAGATTGCGAAGCCCACTCTAACGCCCATAACGCTTAAATCTGATTCACGCCCACATAACCATATATTCAGATCACTTGTATATCTCAATCTCCCTTTAGAACCTTTTACTGAGTTTTTAGTCGAGGCACTCGACTTTCATCATCATCCGATAATATTGTTTGCGAAATAAACCTTTGCTTTTAATTGCATAATATGGCTTAAGCTAGCTTTCTTTATGTTATTTTGTGGAATTCAAGTGAGTCAAACCAAATTTAACGAACAACGACTTAAGAACATTAATTTATTTAAAAATCCAACAGGTCATAGAGAAGCGTTTCTTAAGAATGTAATTTTAAGTGACAAAACATCGACATTGTTATCCGGAACTACATTTACTACTTCTGTTACTATATCGGAGTAGTTCTACAGATCGCGCAACATAATAAGATGTATACCACAATTTACATACATCCTGCTAGGTCCTTAATTATACATTCATTTTTTAAAGCTCAATTTGTGGTGCAATTTTTAAATTACAGTTGATACATAATTGGAATTCATTTAAAAGATTGTTTAAAACAGGAAGTACGCTATACAGAAGAATACTTAGAAATCAAGGTCAACATTTTGAAACAAATTAATTTTATTCATTTTGTTTTTTTTTTAAATTTTGTATATCATTTAAATTTTGTATATACTTTTGCTTTAAAACAACTATTAAATATTTATTAAAATAGTTTGAACCGAACTTATTATCACTGAAAACATTTCCAAATTTAAAAAATAAATGTAAGTTCGTAAGAAAAATAACATAGTTACGGATTTCCATGGATATTGGTCTTAATGCAATTTCTAGAACCATGTTCCTTTAACTCCTTTCCTTCTTCATGCAGACAAAATTGTGAACAGACGCTTCTCAAACTTTCCAAATATTAAGAAAAATCTTCAGAAAACGTGTTAAAAATGTAATATACAAATACTTAAAAATATTATATTATTATTTTTTATCAAGTTACAAAATATTCAGACAACTTCATTTGGAAACTAACCATATCAAACTATAATAGGGTCTAATGTGTTTTATACTTAGTAAACACTGCAATAAGTGGAAACAAGACAAAATGATACTGAGTTTTTTTTAATATTTTACCTATAATTGGGCTAAATTATTTTGTTTATATATATTAAGTTACTTCCTTCCGTGAAGAGGTAAGAATTATGTGGCCGCCCCGTTGGAACGGGCTACCGCCACCGCCACTTGGGCTAAAATAGCTAAAAATTTGTTGTTTGTTTTAGAACCAAAATCGGTTACCTTCCAAAATTTAGATTTTTGTGACATTTTTATATTCAAAAACGCCACTGTGCGACGTTGATTAACTGAATATACTGTTCAAAAGAAAAATGGTAATACTTTTAATAATTTTTAACTAGAAATATTAATACAATATTATTAGAAAGAATGTGTTGTGGCGATCATGTTTTCTGCCATCTGGTGTCGCTGAAAACTCCTCAATATAGATTGGTATCAAAAAACCTCTCTGGGCACACTCTTCGAAGAACCACGCTAAAAAGCCCACTAAGAAAACTGATCTCAATTCTGAACAATCACTCAGTATAAAAAAGTAAAAATATATATATTAGCATCCAAGTTCTGTGTTTTACTTAAGAGCAGGACTTACCTTGGTTTGAAGACAAACCATAGTGTCTTACATTCTGGTACTTTCTATGCCACATTTCAAGGAGTCGCTGAAAGGCTTGGCGTGAAAAGCGTTGGCACTGCCGCTCCTTTCCTTTTGAAGTTATTTCCCACCAATGCAATTGATTTTTTCTGAACTGAAATGTATTGGTCTCGTCAATTCCTATCGGTTCGCATTTTAGCTATTTCGATTTGGTCCCCAACTAGCAAGAGTTTAAAAATATAAAGAGCCCTCATGTTCCACTTTCCACCATTCTACTTTCCCAAAATATGCTTTGGCTAAATTTTGGCTTTTGATTTATTTAAACCGTGTTTTCTTTTTTAAAATGTAATGCTAAATAAAAAAAACTTTTGACAAAGTAATGCAAATGAATAATAAATTCTTTAATTTTTGAAAATGTAGTACCAATTCATTACTTTGCAACAGGGAAGACCTCTATGGTACCTCGACTATCAGATACCCGTTATTCAGCTTAAAGGACCAAAGGGCGGTGGAGATATGCAAGAAACAAAGCGAGATTGTAATGCGCCACCTACCCGCGATCTCAATATATGGTTATGTGGGCGGTATACAGATTAGCCGCTATGGGCGTTAGAGTGTGTAGGTATTGACGAGACTAATGCAATTCAGTTAAGATTTTTTTTTAGCATGAAAATTGTGATCGCCACGGAATTGGGCGCTTTGTGGGCGTTAGAGAGGGTGTGGCACACTGATGAAACAAACTTGCGCTGCACAGGTAATTTTAGAATTTGCATGCCTAATCCCAGTACTGCAGCCTTTATATCA